GCCCCGCCGGTCGCCCCTTAGCTCCGCCTCGTCGCCCGCCCCCCGTCGGTCCCGCGTCCCATTGCCCGGCCGCCGTCGCCGCCTAGCCTCGCCGCCGACGCCCGCACTTGAGAGTCGGCCAGCCGACCGGCCCGCCGCCGACGCCGTCGTCCTTGTCGCCACCGCCCGGGCCGCCGTGCCGCCGCCGACCAAACCCGCCACACCGTCTCACGATCGCCGGCCGAGGCTGTGGCCGGTCGGCCCATTGCCATCGCCCGCCGCGCGTCGCCCGCCCCCCCAGCGCCGTTGCCGCCGCCGACACCGTCGCCGCCCACTGACCGTCGCCGTAGAAGCTCATCGTCGTTCTCCCGGTCGTGGCCGAGCACACAGTCGACTAGTCACCATTTGAGCTCACGCTTGCGCCGGGACCGCCACTGTTCTATCTGCCGATTTTTATTGTCCTTGAACCAAGTAAGCAACTCTCTAAACCCTAGTTAGTACAATTAGGTAATTAGTCGGACTTGTTTAAGGATTATTTAGGATCACTTTTCGTTGGCTAAGTTCTTGGTCGATTTCGGGATTGCATGTGGCTTTGATCGATGGTCGATCGGTTAATTTGTCTATTATGTGGATGATTAAGCGTTAAATGACGATAAGTTGATTGATTAAGCGTTTTCACAGAAAATGCTTGAAAATTGAACAATTCTATAAAAAATCAAGGAAAATTACGGAAAATTAAAACAATGGTATATGTTGGCAACAAATATGAAATTTGACCGTAAAAGTTTTTTAAACTTTTTAAAAAATAAAATTTTTTATAATATCACAAAATGGCAAAAATTAATAGTGACCACCCATTTTCAATGAAATTTAGATTTTTTAACGTTCCGAGGAAAAAAATATTAAAAAATTAAAAATTTCCATAACCTTATAAAATGGCTTAACATAAATGTGGTCACCCATTGTGAGGGAAATTTTTATTTTTTTTGGGTGAAAAAAAAATTAAAAAAATATAAAATTTCACTACTGCACAGAATTGCCTAGAAAACATGTGGCCATCAACTTGCAGTGAAATGTAAATTTCTTTAGATGGCCAAAAAAAAATTAGAATTTAAAAATTTTCAAAACTTCACGGAATGACTTATAATACCTGTGGCCACCCACTTTTAGTTATATTTAATTTTTTTAACGTGCCCTAAAAATTATTAAAATAAATAAGGACAAAAATTTTGGAAACTTTACTTAATAGCTTAGACTACCTGTGGCCACCCAATTTTAGTATGGACAAATTTTTTTATTTCACGAAAAAAAATTATATTAAAAAAAATAATTTAAAAATGCTTAAAATTTTAAAATTTCAAAACTTTACAAAATGTCTTAGAATATCGGTGGCCATTAACTTTTAGTGAAATTTTTTTTAGGGCCCAAAATTTTTTTTTGCAATAATAATAATTTTTTTCTTACAAAACTGCACAAATGACTCGAGAATACCTCTGTGGCCACCCACTTTCAGTGAAATTTAAATTTTTGTACGTTGTCAAAAAAATTTTAATCAAAATGAATGCGATTCATATAGTGATGTTTAATACCTGTAGCCACCCAAATCGTGCTCATACATTGATGTTTCATATCAAAATGAATGGGATTCATAGTATATTTGTTTGTAGGAAATTGCACGTCATAAACACTCGACATTGGCTCATTTCAAGGAAACATTTTCTCAGTCTTTCCATCAAAATGGTAAGCTTCGTCATGTACATCATTATGTGTTCGTAATACGTGTCAATAGTTCTTTACATATTCGCATAACCTTCTTACTTGTCAGTATAAACGTGGAGGTCACATGCCTAGAAGACAAGGCTCTTCCTCGTCCTCGTCCCCGTCCCTTTCCTCTTCCCCTGTCCCGGAATCTAACCCTCAACCACAGTATGGTCCGTCACAATATGGGCACGTTGGCCCTTCCTCCAACACTCAACAACATGTTACGGGACTTGGCCACATGCGAACTGAACGTTCTCCAGTTCAATCTCCTTTAGCTCCCTCTCCTTCCGTTCCACCCAATTATTCGGCGGAACAATCAAATATTGACGGAAACATAGGTCAAGAAGATAACCGATTCTTCATATGCCCATTTGGAGATTCGTAAGTACTTCATTTTTATTTTAGTATATGTAATATTTAGGGTTTTAGATATTGATGTCAATTGAATTGTCCATGTTGCACAATATTCATATGAATGCAGATTCACGGATGCTCCGTCTGTTGTGAGGGAATTGAACAAAATAGTAAGAAACTTTTGGATGGGAGAATATATTACTTACAGAAATGTTCCACAAGAAGTGAAAGAAATATGGTGGAATGAGTTCAAGGTAAGTTTTACATATTTTATTTTCTCACCAATTAAGTGTGGTGTAGTATATTGATGGTCAAGAATGATGTAAAAGGACCAGAACAACTCTGTAGTTTTCGATACCTAAAGGACCAGATATTTTCCCCGACATGAACTTTACAAAATCTGTCTATATTTGTCTGGTGCATGGTTATGGATATCTAATCATCATAATAATTTTCAATTTGTGTTTTTATTCATTGCAGCGGAAGTTCAAGTGAGAGGAAGCGGAAGACAATGAAGTGAGAAGAATTTTCAATAAGAAAATAAGTGATTTTATGCGAAATGTCATGAATAGAGCGAAGAGCAAGCAAGCGAAGCCGTCTTTCTTTACAGCTGACAATTGGGAGGCAATTAACACATTTTGGGCATCTGAACAGAGTTGGCAACTCTGTGAGCAGAATAAGAAGAATCGATCTTCTAGTTCTAGTGATAGGTCAGCCACATATGCTGGGGGCTCTATCAACATTGCGGAGCATCGCAAACAAATGGTAAGTCTGTTAAATGAGTTATAAGTTAATTTAATTCAATTACTCATGTTTACATTTTGTAGGCACATGAATTGGGGACGGAACCGACATTTGCAGCTACATTTGAACGCACATTTCAAAAGAAAGATAAGACATGGACTGGCGATCGAGCAAAAGCTGTTAAGGTATGTAAGGTTATACTTTGGCTTATATGTAAACTATAATGAAAACCGTGAATGCTTTCAATATTTTTAGTAGATATATATATATAGTGATTTTATTTTCATCTACATTGTTAATGTAGGAAAAATATGATGAACTTTTAATGAGCAGTGCTAGTGGTAGTGATGATTGTCCTGAGTCCCGGCCACTAGTTGATAATATGGCATTATGGATGGAGGCAACGGGTGGGGCGAAAAAAGGGAAAATATTTGGGATGGGATCATTATCAAGGATGTTCATGCCGAATAGTCCTGGAAGTTCATCATCCACTGGGACTGGTCGAAGGAGGTCACGACCAGACGAGCAATTGACCCAAGAAGTGCATCGTCTGAATAATTTACTTGTTAAGAAGGATGAACGAATACATAACTTGGAAGAACAAATGAGAGTCGTTATGCAACACCTTAACATCAATCGCTATGGCGATCCTCCTGTACCTCCAGCCAATCCAGTAGGTGATGGGTACAATGATGACCAACACATTGATGCCGAGAATGCTGCTGATGATGATGATGATGATGATGAAGATTTTCTTCGGTCTTTCTAGTTAAAATTCTCAAAATCGGGGGTAAGCTTGCTTCATAATCTTGGTTTTTCATAATTTCACTCATATTCATATGTAAGAACATTTATGTTCGTCCCGAAACGTATTTTTGTTAACCCTTTTGTTATTTTACACCTAGTTCCACATCCATGCATAAACGCTTTTTTTATATTCTGGACTGATTTATGTATCAACATTTCCTCAGATCTTGACAAAAGTGACTACTTTTGGTGTCCTGCCATCGTACCAAAGTCGCGTCTTCTTCTGTATGGTTTTTTTGCGTCTTCTATGATTGTCCCGTCTCTTAGTTCATGTTTTGACTGTATTGTAAGATTGGATATCAAATAGTATCATGTCAGACTCTACAACTTTCCTTCTGTTATTTGTTTCAATTATATGTCATTGTGGCTGGTTTGTCAGAATTTATGGTTTGTTCGTTTTTCTATTTCAATTATATATCATTGTCTCCTTTGATTGATATTGACAAGAATTTATGGCCGAATATTTTAAGTCGAATTTTGCTATCATTAAAGTTTGTCACTAATTTGCGACGAAATTCGCGACGAATTTTCTGACGAAATTCGCGACAAATTTTACGACGATTTTGCGACGAAAATTGCGACGAAATTGCGGCGGATTTTTGCGACGGACAGAGTCGTTGCAAATTTGTGACGAAATTTGCGACGAAATTGCGACGGATTTTTGCGACGAATTTTGCGACGGATTGAGTTCGTCGGAAATTTGCGATGAAATTTGCGACGAATTTGCGACGGATTTTTGCGACGAATTTTGCGACGGACAAACGTTCATTGCAAATTTGCAACGAAATTTGCGACAAAATTGCGACGGATTTTTGCGACGAATTTTGCGACGGACAAACGTACGTCGCAAATTTGCGACGAAATTTGCGACGAATTTGCGACGGATTTTTGCGACGAATTTTGTGACGGATCGAGTTCGTCGCAAATTTGCGACGAAATTGCGACGGATCGAGTTCGTCGCAAATTTGCGACGAAATTGCGACGGATTGAGTTCGTCGCAAATTTGCCACGAAATTGCGACGGATATTTGCGACGAATTTTGCGACGGATCGAGTTCGTCACAAATTTGCGACGAAATTGCGACGGATATTTGCGACGAATTTTGCGACGGACAAAGTTCGTCACAAATTTGTGACGGAATATTTGCGACGAATTTTGCGACGGACTATGTGCCGTCGCAAATTTGCGACGAACTTGTGAATTTTCCGTCGCAAAATTTTGCGACGACCGAGTAGCGACGGAAAAATTCCGTCGCAAATTCGATTTGCGACGGATTTTTCCACGTTTTTCGTCGCAAATTTCGTCGCTAATCCGGTGTTTTTTTGTAGTGAGCCATTCAGTCATGGCAACAACATCCCCAGGATACTCTTGGAGCGTCAAATGGCAGTGTTTTAATCCGAACGAGAGAGTTCCATCCACTCACGTACTCTTTTGATCTTGACACTCGCTTGTAATTTGTGAAGGGTCAAGGTCACCCAAACCTCCTCGGATTGGAAATGTCCGAGGCATTCGTCTCCGAGTCATTCACAAATTGCGTATATTTCACAGCAAACAGGTTCTATCTTCTAGCGAACTGGCCAAGCATATTCCCGCCATGTTTGCGAAGAAAGCCAACGTTCCATAAGAACTCGAAATGAACATGTCTGCCAAGCAACAAACAAATCCAAAAGATAGGGAAGGTATACATGCTGCGCGATGGGAAAGGAAACCGGATTTCCTTCCTCCATAAAAGGCCTGACCTCCAGACTTGGGCACCCCCTCTATTTTGATTGAAAAGGACAGAGAGACAAGGATGGAGGAGATTTCACATATTAGCCATGAGCATCCGCTGACCCTCTGTATGACGGAAGCCACCGGCGAGCCTTGCAACGGATGCTCGAGACCCCTCTTTGATCTCGGCTACGTTTGCTACGACTGCGGCTTCCTCCTCCACATTAAGTGTGCCAAGTTGCCTCAGAAAGTTGACCACCGTTTTCATCCCGAACACCCTCTCACCCTCCTCTTCAAGTCATCGGAAACCTTCGAGTGCAGCATCTGCAAGAAAACTGGCTCCGGGTTCGCCTTCCAATGCCGCGAGTGCCAATACAACATGGACGTGACCTGTTTCTTAAGGAATCAGCCTTTTCTTGATCTCCCTCCTCTAGAAGGGAAAACGAGGAAGCTTCAGCATTTCAGCCACAATCATACCCTGACACTTTGTTACCTCACACAGCAGAGCAGAAGGGTTTGTGCAGGATGTAAACAGCAAATTTTGGGTCCAGCTTATTGTTGCAAGGAATGCGATAAGCACACACTCCACAAATCTTGTGCTCAATTGCCACAGCAGAACAAACATCCTTTCCACCCTTCACACTCCCTCAAACTCTTTAAAGAATCGCCTTATCCTGGCTCAGAAGTAGTCTGTAGTGCCTGTTGGAAGAGGATCGGTGGTTTTGTGTACCACTGCAACATATGTTGGTTCGACCTCGACTTGGCATGCTTTTGTCTTACACCTTCACTGAAACATGAGAAGCATGATCACCTCCTTACTTTCTTTGAAGAAATAGATGATCAAGTCTCATGTAATTCCTGCGGTAAATCGTGCTGCAACAATCTTTACAAATGCGTTAGCTGCAACTTCAATGTGCACTCCACTTGTCTTCCTTTTCCAAGCACTGTTAAGCACAAACACCATCCCCATTCTCTTACACTCAAAGACTCCACTCCCAAGGATGGTTCAAGTGGGATTTGCTGCGCAGCATGCGAGAAGAAGGTAAGCCCAAAGGCCCGGGCTTATTACTGTGCAAGTTGCAGCTATGGAGTTCATCTTGAATGCCTGGTCTCCGAGGTAAACTCAGCCTCCCCTGTCCCTCAGACTTACATAAAACAGAGATGTAAGGTGCCGAACCATACAACCTAACATGCAATCTCCTCAATATACATCTGCTAGTCACTATGCTACCTAAAAATGAGTAAAAGTTTCTGTTTTTTATGTGTGTATAATAATAGAAATTTCAATAGGACTTAAATTTACTAGCAGTCATATAAATTAAACGAAGCAATTAGATTCATAGACATTAGTAATTGATACCTTTTTTGATATATTATCTTAGAGTTGGCAGAAGATAGAAAGTTTGTTTCGAGAAATTATGTTAAAGGTACTAGAAGGAAGTATAATGGTGGTGGGGGCATGCGGCTTACCACAAAGGTTCATCCTATCTACTTTGCTGATTTCTGTATCATATTAGATGATGTATCGTCTCATTACATGCATCGCTGTTACTATCCAGACATTGCTTCCATCTCCACGTTATTCTTGATTTGCTCAATCTCTTCCCTTCCCAACACAGCATCTTCCATCCTAGGCAAAGGCAACTAATCAGATGAAGTGACTTAATATAGTTAACTTGACCTTTTCCACGAACAGGACCAGCCAGACCAAGGGAAACTCCTACAAGACATTGCAAGGGTCAAAGAAGAGCTAGATGCAATTGCCACTCGGTTGAAACGGGACAAAGAATCAGGGTTGACGAAGATACAGGCATGAGTAGGAAGATATTCCAACATAACACAACAGCAACCTGAGCTCAAGGATGGGATGAAGAAAGAAATTAATTTGAAGACGTCGTAGCCCAAAACTAAGAAAAAAAGTGAGATGCCCACCGACAAGTGGAAGTGAGATCCTATAATCTTCGCTCTGTCAAAACCATCATGCCTGAAACTTAGTGACAATTACCGGAGTCAGGTCAGATATTGAGGACTTAGTACTTGTGTCATGCATCTACATGTATTATTATAATGTAAAAGCCTATCCACGTTTGCATAGGAAAGATAGTCATGCTCCTAAGATATCAGTAAATGATGCTACTCATACATAGAATGGTCACGTTACTTTGTTTCATATGGTGGTGGACTTTGGCCATAAAAAATGCTGCAAGAAGCACGAATTTACAAAAGGATCATTGAAATACCGATACTGCCGTAAAATTAACCATCATCTGGAGATTGTCTGCTGGAGGAAAAAGCAGAACAACTCGCATGCAAAAAGAGACTGATGAGCATTTTAAACAATATCAAAAAGCTTGCTTCGGGGCAATTTTCAGCGTACTCTGAATTGACGGGCAATCTGGATCTGTGCAGATTGCAGAACCAAGATTTATCACCTGTCCAGCAGAAGAACGCTAAGAAGACTGCAATAAAAATCAGAAATCACATTCAATGTCGGCACACATTTCAATCGGTGGAGTGACACCACAATGCTACACTAGCGGACTGACAGACTGATGAATTCCTATCGAGACCTCCCCAGAAAATTTACTTCGACCCCAATCTGAAAGTGAAACACCCAATTCGAGACTCTCCATCACAGAGAAAGAGAGAGTCATAGCACCAATTTTGTTCCTCAGCATGATCTACTCAACATCAGTCAAAATGCAACCCCAAAGAAGACAGCAGTAAAGAGCAGTAAAGAGAGCTCAATAACGGATAACTAGGAGCATCAGCTGTGCTCAATTGCGGGAAATTTTCATAGTTTTTTCCTCATATATCCAAGAGTGAAGAATTTGAGCTTGTCCTACGTGAAGAGAACCCAAGAAAGAAAGAGAAAAGCGACAACATCAATACCCTCTGAAGACATTTAAGCAAAGAGCGTAAGCTAAGAACCTCTGTGCTTCGGCAATCATGCCTGAGCCCCCACAAGAGAATTCATCTTTGCCATACCAAAGATGATCTTCAGCACTGAGAATCGATTCACAAAGCTCCCGACTTGAGAGAGTCCAAGAATGGTTAATCAAGAAGCCAACCCTTGTGCGGATCCAAACGCTGAGAAGAACAGAGGCTCCATTTGATGCTTCTCTTTGGTTTGGACTCATCAAATGACAAAATTTCAGGGGTTCATTCATCATCCTAATCGTGGCACCTGAGATGGATCGAAAAATCCCGCATGACGACATGGAATTCAGCGGGAAACAAACGGTTGTTCTTTGACCTTGTTCTGGGTTTGGTAATCTAATTTCATTAAGGAACTGACATATTACACAATGCCCACCGCATGAAAGATCAGCATTGGCTCTAGGCTGTGCGATCCTTTGGAACATTCATTCTGCAGTACAGTATCAGTGGATTTTGTGAAGGCAAAGTGAGATCACCAAGAAAGGGAGGTACTCAGCAGGCAAACTTTAGTGCGATTTTGAGCTATAGTGTGCACCTCGCTCGATCACATGACGACTTTCGAGTTCGACAACCACTACTTCCTCTCACCATCCTCCGAGGCAGAGGGGGTCTCCTACCATCTGATAAATGCCTTTGTCAATGACGATCATGAAGGTGTAATTTCTAGGCATGTCTGGACTTACGCCTTGGATGGAGAAGCTTTCTACCGCGCTTTTTTAAACTTAGTTATGTAAGATGGGGAAGATGAACATCAATGTGCTCGCCGAAAGTGAAATGGAGATCGGGAGGAAAAACCGCTTCATCGACACTAAAATCTCTAAGAAATAAGAGCCTAATGCTATACGCTAAAACGGGTGTGGCTTAATCATATGTCTGTGCGAAAAATTAGATTTTGGAAATGATTTGCTACCATATAATACATCAGGGGCTTTTACAAAGTTTGCCTTGGAAGACTTTGAGCGAGTCAAATGCAAATCAGTCTCAGATTTTTGGGGCAATTCTTTTTTATTCTTCGCTGCCGAACTGGTCTTTGTTGATCCTGATAAGACAAACTTCACCTAACTGATAATAAAAAAACTTATTCAACATAAATTAATAAAAAACGTGTAGAATTCATTGGTTCATCACAATGTGTCAGACCTGAAAAGTTCTGGAGAGGGCCATGAATCGCCTAATTTCAAAGTAATTATCTACAAAGTACTGAACATGAGATCGTGCCACCAGATTAAACAAGTGACCTATCTTGCAAATTCTCCATAAATGGTGGCACTTCATCCCCGGACCACGGCGATCAATCGAATCAATGTCGCGCATCTGAGGTTGACTGACTTCAACTTCATCTTTAACCAACCGCCCGTTTTTTCTTATAATACTCTTAAATGTTTGGAATCTTGTCAGGCCTCATGGCGGGGTTAGTCATGTTGAATATTGTGAAATCCAATGGGAGTACAGTTAACAGCGATAGCAACTAGCTAAGAAGACAAAAGATTGCCATCCAGAAGAAGCAGACACAAAAAGATTCCTACTCTAGCGTCCTCAAGCAAACAGACGATCCCCCATAACGTAACAAGCACAGGATTAAAGATAAGAATGAAGAGATGCGACAAAAAATGGGGACTAGACTGTTGAAGAATACACTTCTTGTCAAAATCTTCTGATGGCACCCACAAGTTTCTTACAATCACCAGAACCTGGCAAGGCTCCGGAACTGCTAGCGATTCACGTGACAAACGCGGTTAACATTTTGAAGAGCACCTCTAAATTCTAATACGTCTCAATTTTTAACTTGAAAATTTCTAGCAGAAAGGGAACAAGACAAAATAAGAGTGGTTTAGAGTATCCTTATAGATTGTGATGAGAATACTCTTTGTTGAATGAGCAATGAATGGGTCCTCTTGCTTGTATATATATAAATAAGAGGAGACTTTGGGCCTATTGACCATCTCTGTGGTTAACCTGGAGAAATGGAGATTGAGGTGCTTCACAGGAGTGACCTCGGCGGTTCCCTCCCGGTCAAAAACGTCCAAGCTCTCGCGTCCAAGGGCCTGAAGGAGGTTCCGTCTCGCTATCTACGGCCCGCATCTGAACTCGGCGAAGTCTGTGATACCGAGTCTCTCGAGATTCCTGTCATAGACATGATCAAGCTCGGTGAGGATCACCCCGACCACAGTGACGAAATCGAGAAGTTCCATTGGGCTTGCAAGGAATGGGGCTTCCTCCAGGTGCACCATCTTGAATCTTTACAATCAAACCAAATTTAGCTCATATCATGTCAATGACATACTGTCAAAAAGTTTCGACTTCCCAGTACTCATATGAAAATGATTTTTGTGATGACACAGTTGATAAACCACGGCATATCGGAAGAGTTCATTCATCAAGTGAAGACAAATACAGAGGAGTTCTTCAAGCTGCCATTAGAAGAGAAGAAGAATTACGAGCAGCTACCTAACTCCATCGAAGGCTATGGCCAAGCTTTTGTTGTGTCGGAAGACCAGAAGCTTGACTGGAGCGACATGCTCCTCCTTTTTGTACAACCTGCTTCCCAGAGAAACCTCAGGTTTTGGCCAAAGAACCCTGCCTCTTTCAGGTAAGTTAAAACGGATCAATCACACAGTAAACGTTCCTACAACAGATATGCACACACAATATCACCAAATGAGTCTTCCCAGTTTATTCTTCTTCCCCTCTTTTTTTTGGGGATGAACAAGAGAGAACTTTAATTTTGGTTCAACATCTCAGAGCAACCCTGGACAGTTACTCCTCAGAGTTGGTACGGATTTCACTTTTCCTCCTGAGAGCTATGGCCAAGAACCTAGGACTTTCTCCGGATGTGCTTGCAAGCATGTTTGAAGACGGGATACAAGGGATAAGATTAAACTACTATCCACCGTGCAAGCAAGCAAACGAGGTCCTGGGTCACACCCCACACTCTGATGCCACCGGACTAACCCTGCTAACTCAAGTAAATGATGTAGATGGATTGCAAATCAAGAAAAATGGTAAATGGCTACCTATAAAACCTGTTCACAGGGCATTCATCGTCAACGTAGGCGATATCATCGAGGTAGTACAATAATTTCACTACCCCTTCCCACGTGTGTAAAAGTGATCCCATGATTGATTTTCACGTTCAATGCAGATAATGAGCAATGGACAGTACAAGAGCATAGAACATAGAGTAGTGGTGAATCCGGAAAAGGAACGCCTCTCAATTGCTGCGTTTCACAGTCCAAATATAGAAGCTATGATCGGCCCATTTCCAGATCTTGCCGGAAAGAGCGGTGCGCTGTACAAAACAACAAGTCACGAGGATTACATGAGGCTAGTTGTCGCGAGCAGACTGGACGGTAAAAGCCTGTTGGACCAATTCAGACTTAGTGATGTATGAATCGCTGGTATATTGAAAGTCATTTAAAACTTCTTGGTGTGTGTACCAAGTTAATCTAGAAAAGGGACTGCAGGTCTCAACGATGTGGAAAGAAACTACAGGTTCTGCAATGACAACCTTTTGCTTAAAAATGATGTAAAGATTTCCTCATTCATTCATTTAGAATACAAGGTCTTTCATGCATAGCACCATTACATCATTATAAATTATTCCTTCTCCAACCAAAACATGCCAATGGTTAGATTCTCTAAAAGTTTGTGAACGGACAGGTAAACTACTGCTTCCTAGTTTTCACGAACGGTATGTTAGACCATCCTTTAGAAGCAAATCGCCAGGACCAATCAACATGTACTTCTGAAGAAGCTTGTTTAGCAACCATTTTAGCATTCTAGATGATTGGATCGCTCCTTTAGATGCCTTTACCACCATACTATAATGATAAGAAAACATTGTGAACATATAATAAAGACAAATTTATTAGCTTGTGAACGGACAGGTAAACTACTGCTTCATAGTTTTCACGAACGGTATGTTAGACCATCGTTTAGAAGCAAATCACCATGACCAATCAACATGTACTTCTGAAGAAGCTTGCTTGATAACCATTTTAGCGTTCTAGATTATTAGGTCGTTCATTTAGATGCCTTTACTACTGTGTTACAATGATAAGAAAATATCGTGAGCATATGATAAAGACTGGTTTATTACCTGTCCAACAGAAGAACGCCAAGAAGACTGCAACAAAAATCAGGAGTCTCATTCGATGTCGGCACACACATCAATCAGTGTAGAAACACCACAATGCTACAATAGCGGGATTGACAGATGGATGAAATCCTCACGAGACCTCCCCAAGAATTTACTTTTGACTCCCATTACACCCAATTCGAGACTCTCCATTAGAGAGAGTCATCACACCCATTTCGCTCCTCTGCATGATCTAAATAACACCAGTCAAAAGCAAAGACAGAGAAAGCAGAAGTCAACATTATTCAGAGAACAGCTGCAAAGGGCGCACGGTAACGGATAAATAGGAAGATCAGCTGCGCATAATTACAGGAAATTTTCAAATTTTCATTCTCGTATATGCATAAGCGAAGAATTTGAGCTTGTCCGACACAAAGAGAACAAAACCAAAACGAAAAAAGACACCAGTATTGTCCAAAGACATCGAAGCGAAGAATGCAAGCTAAGAATATCCATGCTTTGGCAATCATGCCCGAGCGCCGAAGGAGAAATCATCTTCGCCACACCAAGCATCATCATCAGAATTGAGAGAGCTCATGAATGCCTGGATAATCAAGAAGCCGACCCTTGTGCACATCCAAACACACGAGAAGAAGAAGAAGAACAAAAGGCTCGATCCGATGCTTCTCTCTTCGGCTCAGTTTGGTTCCTTTAAATAAATTTGAGACGAGCTTAAGAAAGCAGATGTATGCATACCATTTTTGGGTCTTGCTTTGCCTGTTAACTTAATCGGGAGAAAAGAAAATAAGAATCGTCATCGACAGTTTATATTCCACGCTTCCTCGTATCATAAAGATTTTCGCATGATGACTTGGAATTCAACGGGAAACAAACGCTGTTCGACCTCGGTCTAACGTTTCTGAGAATCTAATGTTATTTAAGGAGCGATGTGCTGCGCAAACGCCCCCACTGCACTAACAAATCAGCATTGCCTTCAGGCAAATGTCGATGTAATCCTTAGTTTTGTGCAATCTGATCGGTCATTCAGTCGTGGCAACAACATCCTCTTTTGATCCGAACGAGAGAGTTCAACCCGTTCACGAACTCTTTTGATCTTGACGCTCAGCCTGTAATTTGTGAAGGTATCTAGGTCACCCAAACCTCCTCGATTTGGAAATGTCGGAGGCATTCATCTCCAAGTCATTCGCAAATTGAGTATATTTCTCAGCAAACAGGTTCTATCTTCTAGTGGTTAGTAAAGCACATGAACCATGGGAACCCACCAAGCAAGACAAGCCAGGCATATTCCGACCAAGTTTGCAAAGAAAGCCAACGTTCAATAAGAGCTTGAAACGAACATGTCTGCGAAGCAATCCCCTCAGGAAACAAGTCGAAAAGACAGGGAAGGCATATATGCTGTGTGATGGGAAAGGAATGCCGTGTGATTTCCTAACGCTATGAAAGGCCTGACCTCCGGACTTACGCAGCAACGCGCCCCACCCCACCCCCCGCAAAAGGACTGACTGAGAGAGAAGGATGGAGATTTCACATTTCAGCCACCAGCATCCGCTGACCCTCTGTATGACTGAGGACACCGGTGAGCCTTGTAACGGATGCTCGAGACCCATCTTTGATCTCGGCTACGTTTGCTACGACTGCGGCTTCCTCCTCCACAAGAAGTGTGCCAAGTTGCCTCAGAAAGTCCACCACCGTCTTCATCCCAAACACCCTCTTGCCCTCCTCTTTAATTCATCGGAAACCTTCGAGTGCAGCGTCTGCAAGAATACTGGCTCCGGGTTCGCCTTCCAATGCCATGAGTGCAAATACATCATGGACGTGACCTGTTTCTTAAGGAATCAGCCTTATCTTGATCTCCCTCCTCTAGAAGGGAAAACAAGGAAGCTACAGCATTTCAGCCACAATCACACCCTGACACTTTGTTACCTCACACAGCAGAGTAAAAGGAATTGTACAGGATGTGAAGAGCAAATTTTGGGTCCAGCTTATTGCTGCAAGGAATGCAATCAACTCACACTCCACAAATCCTGTGCTCAATTGCCACGACAGAGAGAACATCCTTTCCACCCTTCGCACTCCTTCACACTCTTTACAAATTCGCCTTACCCTGCCTCACGAACCATCTGTGATGCCTGTCGGAAGATCGTCCATGGTTTTGTGTACCACTGCGACAAATGTTCCTTTGACCTCGACTTGGTATGTGCTTATCTTACACCGTCGTTGAAACATGAGAAGCATAACGACCCCCTTACTTTCTTCGAAGAAATGAAGGGTCAAGTTTCATGTAATTCTTGTGGCAAAACGTGCAGCAACAATCTTTACCGATGCGTTAGCTGCAACTTTAACGTGCACTCCACTTGTCTTCATTTTCCAACCCCCGTTAAGCACAAACACCATCCCCATTCTCTTGCACTCAAAGACTCCGCTCCCAAGGATCATTCAAGTAGGATTCTCTGCGCAGCATGCGAGAAGAAGATAAGCCCAAAGGCCCGGGCTTATTACTGTGCAGAATGCAGCTATGGAGTTCATCCTGAATGTGTGGTCTCCGAGGTAAACTCAGCCTCCCCTATCCCTTATATTTATATAAAACAGAGGATAAGGTGCCGAACCATACAACCTAACTAACACGCGATCTTTTAAATAATACATCTGTGAGTCTCCATGCTACCTGATAAAAAGATCGATTTTTTTTGGTGTGTGTATAATAATAAAAAATTCAATAGGAGTACTTAACTTTACTAGCAATCATAACAGATTAAATAAAGTAATTAGATTCATGCACATTAGTAATCAATTCCTTTTTTGATATACTAATCTTAGTGTTGGCAGATTATAGTTAGTTTGTTTGCGAAATTAATGTAAAAGGTAGTGGAAGGAAGATTAATGGTGGTGGAGGCATGCGGCTTACCACAAAGGTTCATTCTATCTACTTTGCTAATCCAATGACATATTGTCTCATTACCAGCATTGCTGTTACTCCCCAGATATTGCTTCCATCTCCACGTTATTCTTGATTTCCTCAATTTCTTCCCTTCCTCACACTCACATCTTCCATCCTAGGCAAAGGCAACTAATTGGATAAAGTGACTTAACATGGTTAAATTGACTTTTTTCCATGACCAGGACCAGGACCAGGACCAGCCTGACCTAGGGAAACTTCTCGAAGACATTGCAAGGGTCCGAGAAGAGCTAGATGCAATTGCCACTCAGTTGAAAAGGGTCAGAGAATCAGTATCGATGAAGATACAGCATGAGTAGGAACATATTCCAACAATCGCAACAGCAACCTGAGCTCAAGGATTGGATGAAGAAAGAAAGTTGATCCCAAAACTAAGAAAACAAGTGAAGTTTCTACTAATATGTGACAGTGAGATCCTATATTCTTCACTCTATTGAAACCATCATGCGTGAAACTTAGTGATGCTTACTGGAGTTGGTCAGATTTTTAGGACTGAGTACTTGTGTCATGCATCTAGATATACGCTTATAATTTAAAAGCCTATCTTCAGGTGCAAAGGAAAGATCATTATGCTCCTAAATTATCAGTAAATGATGCTACTCATAGATACAAATGCTTACATTACTCTGTTCCATAAGGCGGTGGACTGTTGCCATCACAAAAACTGCAAAAAGTACGAATTTACAACAGGTTCATTGAAATACCAATACTGCCATTAAACTAATCATCATCTAAAGATTCTGAAGAGAACAATCAGAAGCTGGAGGAAAAGAAAAACAGAAAAACTTGAATGCAGAAGGAGACTGATAAGCATTGTAAATAGATGTTAGAGAGTTTGCTTCCAGGAAGTAATGTTGTCTTTTATGTACACTAAATCGACAGGTAATCTGGATCTGTGCACCTCTTTATCATGCCCGGCCAAAAATTGATGGTTCCAAACTGCCAATTCCAACAAAAATTTAACAGTACATGTTTAAGAAAAGATGCTCAGAAGAACCACTGGAGGTGTTGATCCAAAATCTTCTTGGACATTTTCCTCATGCACACCCAGAGTCAAAATAGCCTCCCTAAAGCATCTGCTCAATCACCTGTATGAGAAGATAGATCGACACATCTTCTCACATTCCTTGTAGCACAGAAAAAGCCACACTTAAACAGTGTAATATGCATTTGTTAATAGCTTCATTGATGAGAGAAATGGGCTAGTCAGATATATGTTTGAGTTCATTGCATAGATAAGACAATAAATATTCCCATCGCTACATGCGAGGGATATCAGAAATCAACTCCTACTCCTACCATATATACATACACTACGCAAAAGGAAGTACGAGGTCCACAATTCTAACTTGTCTACACTGATGAGGATGCAGATTTGATAGCTCTTTGGAGTTCACTCTCCAAACTGCTTGACCGATTCAAAGACTGATTCGATTCTCTACCATTTTCTTCTCTCCCACTCTTCTTACTCTTCCACATTTCAAAATCACCCCTTCTCACTCCCAAATTCATCGAATCTCTATCGCCAATTCCAACCTTTTCGCCAGGACCCTCCCTCGTCCCCATTCCTAATCTCATACCCTCCAAACATAGCTTCATCTCACTATTCTCCCTCTGCATCTCTTCCAAATCCTTCCTCATCCATAAAAACATTCCCTTCAACAACTCGGAATCACCGAAATTACTCTCGTCCTTCCTCTCATTCGCTCCCTTCGCTTCCTCAATGGTCTCAAACCCGATTTTACTCACCGTCAGGAACGGCATTCCAGTCCCAGAATCAGCCGCCGGCAAATTCACCCCCCAACGGATATTCACCCTCGCACGCTTCGTTATGGGCAACATCGTCCTTGCCCTCACTCCGATTCCAGAGAACATTTCCAGATAGCCACTCTTACCATCACTTCTACAACTCAGCGGCACAACCCTATCGCCGTTAATAAGATTGCGACCATAATCCACACTTTCAGAGCTTCTAAACAGCTCTTTCCCACTACAAGGCTCCAACTTGAGCTCCTCCCAAGTCGACGAACCCCCCATCGAAAATCCACCCCCAATTCCCAACTCAGAACCTGAACAATCACTTACACCAGCAAGCGTGGCCTCGTTTTTTCCCCGATTGGGCTCAACAAATCTCTTCACGTCCAAATCCCGGCCGCAACTGGGGTTTGAGGAGGTGGACTTGCCGAGGGAGAAGTGGCCGAGCTGAGGCCGGAAGTGGAGAGAGAAGACGGGAGAACTCGGGGCAGGGCTCGAGAGCGAGAGGGGGAAATGAGCCGAGAAGACGAGAGGCGAGTCGTTGGGCGAGCCGAAGAGGCCGATGCCGGATTTGAGGGTGAGGGCGAAGGGGGAGCCGGCGGGCGGCGCGGCGGCGGGAGAGCAGGAGAGCTTGAGGGAAGGGAAGGAAGGGAAGCTGGTGGAGAGAGAGAAGGTGAAGTGTGGCGAAGGTGTGGCGGCGGCGGCGGCCGCGGCGGCGATGGTGGAGGTGAATGGGCGGTTCAGGATAGTGAGAGGCAGCTTGGCCTTGAGGATTGGACGGCGGTGGTTGTGGGGGTGGTTGGAGGTTGTGTCGCCGCCTGGGCGGCGGCGGCGGTCGTCGCCGGGGAGTTCGAGGGAGAACTTCATGGCTTCGTCTACGACCTCCGACGTGGGGCTTGGAGGGGAAACGACGGTGCGTATCTGAGTGGCTACTGTGCCTCTGTCGGAGAGCTCCTTTTGATGGAAATACAATAATACAAACACTGTTTCTTGAAAGCGACACCTAATTGACATTCTAATATAAATGCAAAGAAATTTTCCAATTTTTTTTTTTCATTTTTCATGGTTATTTTATTAGTTTATCTTTTTATCTAAAACAACCGCGACGCAAAAAAAAAAATTCAACTTTATTCCGAGAAACATGAAATGTAACTCCCTAAACTAGAGAGACTTGAATTTTCCTGCCATTTTTCATGTTTTATTTTCGTTCCCATAGCAAAAATCTCTGATACAAGAGGCCAAGCTACGCGCGAGAACTCCCCACTACAAACTCCGGAGAAGCAGATCCATTCTCTCCCCCTTCCCTTTGCCTATCTTCTTCGACGGGATTGTTCGGCGAATTCTGGGCAACACTCCTCCATCAGCAAAGATCGCAGATCAGTTAAGAGCACCTGCACCGGCACTCAGTTCTGTCCATTCCGTGTGGAACGACCCGGGGCAATCTCCATGTTGTCCGGCAATTTTATCACTTCCGAAAAAAGCACATGGATCGGTATCTCATATTGAGTTGGTGTAGGACACTCCAATTCTACCTTTGGCTTTTCCAAAGGTTGTGGTTGAGATGCTCTTGGTCTCCATCAACCCACAGAAATTCACGGACACAAAAATTGAACGCGAGGGCTTTCGATGCATGTCCCAATTGAATTATGATCACATCTATGCTAGGAAAGTCTCTAACCTGTTTTAGCTTGTCAAGGCAGTGTAGGTTACTCTGCACATAAAAATTCCGAAGGTATAAGATAAATATAATCATCTGGACAACATAACATATGACTGCATCATGCGTTCCTCATGTAAATCAAACATAATGGGCTGCATCCTCGAGAACGTCACATGATTTTACTCGGTCATTCACTTCATCACATCTACATCCTGATAACTCGCTCTCCTATCCACGCAGTTCAAATGATAGCATGACAAAAAGGTTACTCTAGGCTTGGTGACAAAACTCGAGAAGTTCTCTCTCAGCAGTTCATCAAATCTTGAATGTAACAACATCCGTGTTCCGCATCACAAGATATAACGTATTGCATATACAAATAACATTATCATGCTTCTCAAACTGGACTAATGTACACTTCTTAGGTTTGTACTAATCAGCAGGGTCATAACAGCATGCAAAGACTCAAAATTTGAAATACAAAATTGTTTGTGTTGGCACCGCCTTTTCGAGAGGGAGAGGGAAGACGCAACCAACAGAATCCATTATCAACTCAAACAGCATGGACATTGCGCTGCACTGTCAGCACTCAATTCGAACAGCTCCACTCTCCGATGAAATGAACTTAGGCTTCCGTACAACTTGTTCCAAGCACTGGATGATGTCCCCAACCTGGAAATCAGCCCAATCTCGGATTACAAGCCCACATTCATTCCCTTTTCCCACCGTCTCAACATCCTGCTTCTCTCTCTTGAGGGACGCGCATGACCCTTCGAACATGACTTCTCCGCTCCTCAGAAGCCTCATTGTTGATGATCTCGTGACTTGCCCGTCGACAACGCGGCAACCGGCAATCTTCACATCATCTCCCTTGGATTTGCTCCTCCCTTTGAGCTCGAATATGTTCAAGACCTGAGCTTCCCCAGCTACCTGAGTCTCTGCAGTCCCCGGAGCCTTGTGAACTATCAAACTGCCCATATCCTCCAAAAGATGATAGATCACACGGTGTGTTTTTATCTGAAACCATATACAAAACCGGGGATTAAATAAACAGAACATGGCCATCTCAAGCTCCAAAACGAGGTATTTCAGGTTCTTTACAAAGTAAGTGCATATATCTATCTTTACAATGCATGAAAGTGAGGTTTTAAGTGAGCATAGAGTGATAATTGTCATGTCATTAGAACGCTTTTGCTCTCATGATATTAATCCCGTGCACCGAGCATTTGTTTCACTGACACCACATTAAAAGCCACTATTAACAAAAAGTCAGAAGATTGACAGAGAAGAAATAAGTTCTATACCTGAATACTGGCTCTAGTTGCTGCCTGAGTTACAGAACTAGGAGGATTCTTCACATTGAACCCAACTATACATGCACCACAGGCCTGTGCTAGGTCGATATCAGACTGAGAAACTGGTCCAACACCAACATGCACTACGTTGACAAAAACCTGAGCACATGAATAGAAGAGAATATATGTCAACAGGAATGACTTACAAAAGCTCTGATAGAAACAGGATGATGCAATGGCGCACAAGGCGTATGAAACTTGAATGTACTGCAAACAGCAGAATTTTCTTCATGCAAAGTAGCAGCAAAGGGGTGTCACATCAGAGCAAGGCATTTGTTCATGAAATTTGATGTTCAAACAGAAAAAAACATCGATAAGAAAAGAAGCATCTCATTCATGGAGGTGGAGGTATGTGACAACTAAGGAACCTTATCACTTACGCATTACCTGAGGGCTATTCAAACTTTTTAAAGCATCTGTAACAGCTTGGACTGTTCCTTGCACATCTGCTTTCACAATTATCGGCATTTCAACTCTCTCCACTTCTTGTTCTTCTGATGACTCTTCAGCTTCTGTCCTTCCCTCGCTTATTTTCCGAAGTCTGTCTTTCTCAGATTTTCTTTTTCTTCCCGTACTAAGCATTCTAGCACGTTCCTCAGAATCCACAACAACAATATCATCACCAGCCATTGGGAGACCCTTCAACCCTTCAATCTCAACAGGCATAGCCGGAGTTGCTCGATCAGTCATCTTACCCACCATGTCCCTGAGAGCCCTTATTCTCCCCCACTCAGAACCCACAACCACATATTGCCCACAAACCAAAGTCCCTGCCTTCACAATCGCTGTGGCCAACGGACCACGCCCCCTATCAAGCCTTGCCTCCACTACATAAGCTTGTGCAGGCCCATCAATCCGTGCTTTCAGATCCATAAGCTCAGCCTGGAGAAGCAACGCCTCCTCCAACCTATCCAATCCTGTTTTCTTTACAGCTGAAACTTCAACTACCTGAACGTCCCCACCCATTTCTTCCAAAAGTAACCCCTCCGATGCGAGCTGCAGTTTTACTCGTTCAGGGTCAGCAGCTGGTTTATCGCATTTACTAATAGCAACAACAACTGGTACATTGGCCGATGTTGCATGGGACATAGCTTCTCGAGTTTGGGGCATGACTCCATCATCTGCAGCTACCACTAGCACAACAATATCAGTGACTGCCGCACCTCTGGCCCGCATTGCACTGAATGCAGCATGACCAGGAGTGTCGAGGAATGTTATTGATGAACCCGAAGGCATGCTCACAACAAATGCTCCAAGATGCTGAGTTATCCCACCAGCTTCCTTTTCCACCAAAGATGTTTGACGCAGAGCATCCAAAAGAGAAGTTTTCCCATGGTCAACATGACCCATGACCGTGACAACGGGTGGCCGAGCTGAAAGCTTTGCACCTTCATCGGAGTGACGCCTTCTAACATTGACGCCGAGTTCCTAAGATGTATAGGTCCAAAGTAAGTCCCTGCAACTATATTCAGACAAAGATACATGCACTATGTTCAGTTCTATCAAGTGCTAATGGCAGTGAGCAGATAAGGATTTTCATACTGAAGGCATTTTCATGTACTTTGCTGGCCAACACAAACATTGTCCACCAAAGTAAATACACTGATTAAGCAAGTCTCTCACAAGGCAGAAGATGGTAATTTACCCTTTGAACAAGGTTTTTTCATATAATTAAATCAGCAGTCTCAGCACATATTGTGTTTCAGCTAACATCTGCATTCTCAGCTATTTATGAAGAATGAAAATGACACTTGCAACCTTTTTATTTCTCTTTTGTATTTCAAGCATGGAAAAGAATTACTAAGATAGCCAAGCAAACATACCATTGCAACAAGCTCCGCAATGTCGATGCTGAGAGGATCAAACTCTGATTCGACCTTCTCCCCAACATTCAGAAGGATATCTTGCAGTGAAGATAATGACTCACCAGTACGCTTGGCGAGTTCGACTATTGTCATGCCTTCGAAAATGTCAATTGTTTTATCCACAGACGACTTTGTCACTGTTTTCACTTTAGGTGGCACATATGGAGCCTCAACGGGTGGTTGGGCTCTATTCTCTCTTCTAACATACTTTTCTCTCTTGGGAGTCCTCAAACCAAATTGCCCATCACCTCTAGCCAAAAGTGTTGGACTTGAATGAAAGCACCTAAATAAAAGAACAAAATTCTCAACCGTTTCCAATTAAGAGGAAGTGTCCCAAGTCAAGAACTCATCACCTATCTATTACCCTCAAAAAGAAGAAGACAAGGCCCATGAGAGCTAGACTTAACTATGTAGTAAACACCGTTTCCAAAATATCTGATTAAAATATGCTAACACTAACATACGTAGGAGGGCTGAAAAACTTAGCACCAATCTCAAAATCACTCAAATACTAAGAAGAAACAAACAGATGATGAACTTCAGTTACCTTAATGAAGTCTGGTCAGACAGATGCTTCCTATAGCTAGCCTCCTGCCATAGTGACATGTTAGAGAAATCTGCAATATCACAATTAAGAACTGAATGATCAGGATTTGCACTTACCATTCATAACATTCAGAAGAGAAAAGTCAACAAGGAGGTGCAAGTGAAAAGATAGGAAATATTGAGCTATACTCTAATGTTTCCTTAATCAAAGGTCATATATGTCAATGTTTCATGGTGACATGAGAAAATGCATCTTCCATTTTTTCAATATAATTCCACTTGCCATCGCATAGGTGAGCTTAGACATGGTAAAATTGATAGTTTGATGAGCACACTTTACTCAAACATTTCTTGAAGTGGGCAATTCAAATAACTGGAAGTGTTAGACAATAATTAAAGAAGGAGGCATTATTTAGCCTGGAGATTGCACCAAAACAATTAAATCAGAAATGAGTTGTGACATGAAATCACTTGCTTAAAATATAAAATGCATTATGATTATAAAATGTGACTTCTCCACTGGACCTGAAAAGCATCTGAACAGAGCAGAAACCGATATCACAGCATCTTCAAGGCGAGAAACAGAAGCCGAACCCAATGCATGTCCTTGTGATATTTTATGACTAACTCGAAGACCCTGTAGAAAGAAGATTGAAATAAACAAATTTTTCCATCAACTGCAATGTTGTGATTGCAATTTAAATTGTTAATTAAAAAAGAATCGCTAACATGGCCATGAAATCAATCTGTTTCCCTGATTCTTTGCTTCCCCCACCCCAAACCCCGACAAACCTTTTGTAATTCCCTCCCCCCCACAACATACACACACACACCCCGGGGAACTATTGACCACTAGATCTTGATTCTCAACAAAAGTGAAACACGACAACATCAAGGCCCACCAACTAAAAGAATTAAAGTAAGTAAAAGGATAATCTTTTCAAAGATACTCAAATCAGGCGATCCAACTCCTTCACATATATTAGGCCAAAAAAACTGCTTAAAATCTAACTGTACAGTTCCAGCAATGTGAACCCTTTGACTTCTTCAAACTCCTACCAACATTGTCTATACTCGAGAGTTCATGAACATTCCAACAAACACCCCCCGCCACCCACTAAAATAACACCACCAACATAGACACACAGATCTTTGAGATTAAATCAACATGTACTTGAGATCCTTGACCACATCACTAACCAAAATATCATCATACAAAAGCTGTTGCCTGTTCTATCAGCCATGTGAGCCCGCAACACAATTATTCAACATCAACGCTGAAGTATAAGTACGGTTACACAACACAAAGACAAAAATGTGAAACATAACACCTAATAGAAGCATGAAAGAGTTCTATTTAGGACACTTTACCTTGTTTCCTAAGGCTCTCCAAGCCATTCATAAGAATGTCAAAGCCCTGCAATTTAAAGGTACAAGCTAAATCTTAAGGTCTTGATCAACAAATAACAAACAATTACCAAAACAGAGCCAATAGATGCTTTCAAGAATCAGAGGCTTATCCCTGAAGATCCTAACTTTGTGTGAAATCTCCCCTGTACTAAATCAACCAATAAAGTCAAAACGTTCTATTTAACAATGATTCCATCTCCCAGCTCAGATCCCATATGGTTTGCCATGATAAAACAGAAGTACCTAAATTAACTAAAGTCTCCAGAAAAAACCATCGTTTCAGAACCCAAAAAGTTCATATATTTTGGATTACACTCGTGTAAGAACTGCAAACATAGTTAAAAGGAACAAGATTTACAGAAGAAAAAAGAACAGATACCAAAAGAGAGGGATGCAGTTCTCATTCAGTAACGATGGAATGTGGCAGTAATCACGCTCAAAAGTTAATGAAAAGTCTCGATCATATAAGACATGCTGAAACACAGGAGACAAGTTTAAACAAATTTGGTTTCGGCATTTCATCGAACATGTTGTGCGCGGTTTCGTCATATAGTCTACGCGCAAGGTCTAAAGCAGCAATTCGTTTCAAACTATCACGACTAATGTCAAAAGCAACTTAACGTTAAATCGTCAGCTCAGTCTTAACGACAGCAGATTCCAAACCAACACCACTCAGAACCTCAACTTCGGTTCTCACTCGAAAAGGGACCGAGAACAAGTCGTGTAGTTCTTACCTCTGCAAAGCTGGACCTCTAACTCCGGTCAGCGAGAGCGTAAATGCTCTAAAAATTGTCACCAGCGAGGATCGGAAGCGTTGGCTAAGGATCGAACACGAGATAGTCTCTGCGAATCTCTCGGTCTCGAAACAGGGGAAGAACAGGGCTTTGGAGGCGCGGTTCCGGAAAACCGGGGGGCTGCGGCGGCGGCGGCGGCGATGGGTAACGACGTCGGAAAGGCAATGAGAGGTTGTCGCCTCCTCCGCCTTCTGCCGTCTTCGCGTGCTCCTCCCCAGCTCACGTTTCAGACGTGAAAAAACGAACCTAGGAAGACTTGAGGCTGGGCCCCGAAGTTCTAAAAGATTCACATGGGCTCCTGGGCTTGATCCGTTGTACCGCTGGCCTCATTTTTTTTCTTTCTTTCGTTTTTACTATCGATTTAGGGCGCGAATGACAACATTTCTCGTCCTCGGCTCTATTTCTGGCTGGAAATTAAAAAAAAAAATCTATTTCTCTTCTCCGAACGAATTTCTAAGAAAAAAGTAGCGTTTGATAACAATACAAATTTCTGTTCTCGGAATAGAAATTCATTTGATAAGTTATTCTTAAATTTCTGTTTCCGGCGGCTGGCCGGCAGGCGGCGGCGGATGGTGGTAGACTGGCGGCGGACGGCTGGCCGGCGGCGAACGGTGGCAGACGGCCGAAGAACGATGGCCAACAAAGGCGGTCGGGCGGCAAGCGATAGCGGACGGCAGGCAAACGACGGCGGACAACGGCAAACAGCCGACGAGCGACGGCGACGGGCGGGCGGCGAGCGGACGGGCGCAGGCGAGCGGCGAGTGGGCGATAAGTGTGAGCAATAAGAGAGAGTTGTTATTTCTATTTTTATTTCAGAAATAGGAAAGTAGAAAATTTTAACTTCTCATTTTTGTTCCAAATTTATTTCTGGACCAAAATTTGTCCCATAAATTAAAAAAAAATGAAATTATTTTATCAAACGGATTTCTGTTCCAAATCTGTTTCAGGGAATAAAAAAATAAAAAAATAGGGAAACAGAATATTTGTCATTCGCACACTTATCGACTAAAAATTCTGGCATCCACGGCATGGTCTGATCTCCGAGGCGTGTAGGAGGTTAGGGAATGAATGAAAGCCGCATAGTGACGGTGTACGGAAGGTTTGAGTTTGGAAAAAGTTCACTTTTAGTCCCTGTATAATCATGCTCTTTTCAATCAGGTCTCTGTAATTTCAATTTATCTAATCATGTCCTTCTACTTTCACGAATTTTCTGATCAGGTACATCCGCCGCCAAATTTTTTCGAATCTAGCCAGCGTAACCGTTTGATGATGCCACGGTATCATATGGATAAAACCTGCGGATATACATGTGGATGTGTACATAAAAAATTTAGCCAATATTAACAATGTTAGAGTATGACGTTGTTATCAAAATGGTCAAAGATTGAGAAGGAAACTCAAATATGAGAAGGTATATGTCCACAGTCTAAGGAATCGACCCTGGGATACATGGCATAGAGCTAACCGCTCAATAGAATACACCAAAGAGATACAGAGCTTTCGAGGGGCTTATTAAAGACTCGACCTGGAACAACCCTCTAAGTTAGGCACATTCCAAGACACGTTCTCTTTTATTTTCCAAGACAAGACCAACATTTCCTAAATCATAGAAATTGTAAAAGACTCATTCTTTGTAAAAACGATCCGTCCTTAGTAATTTAGCCATAACTTTCTCTAGAAGACAACGAAATAGCATAGAGCTTATTGCATTAGAACTTAGACAAATTGGGCTTCCCAATTTTATATTATGAGACTACTTTGGACTAGAAATCATCGTCAATACTCAGAAGAAAATGACCCTCCAAATTCGGCCCATAAAAATGAACTTCACCTCTAAGCAATTGTGCATTAGGCATTGGACAAAGAGTTAGCGTGCGCTTGGGAAAGGCTCCAAAGCACCTTGAGCCAAAATGTGGGTGTTTGAAAATGATTTAAAAAACTCTGTCCAACAAAAGTCAGTCTTGTGAAGGCCGAAAGCCCAAGGCAACCCAAGGCAAGTCTTAGGCTGCCTTGGGCTTTTAGCTTTCTCGGCATGCAAGACCCTTGGGTAAGTAAAAAATATTTCTTTCAAAACTCCCCTCAATCTATTTTTTGATTTTCCGATTTTGCCCTCATTTATCACTATTCATCATCTTCTCCGGTTGGCTCGGCCGCCATGGCTATGAGGGGACAGCAATGGGTTGGAGAGGGGCCGGTGTGGTCGCACGACCCAGCTACTGTCGCTTGGGGTCGCACGACTGCTGCGCGAGGCCACACGATCCAAGTGAAGGCCACCTGAGGTCGTGCAACCTAAATGGCCCTTGCTAGGAACTTGCGCGACCTCGGAGAGGTGCCGTGTGATTCAATCAAGGACCGCCTGAGGTCGCGCTACCCAGACGACCCTCGAGGGTCGCGCGACCTCCATGAGGGGTTGCGAGGGCTGCGCAACCTCGACGAGGGGCTGCCTGGGGTCGCGCAACCCAGACGGCCCTCACTAAGGTCGAGCGACCTCCTTAAGGGGTCGTGAGGGTTGTGCGACCCCATGTAGCCCTCGCCTAGGTTTCGCAACCGTCGTTGAGGGTCGCTCAATCCCAAGCCGCCCTTGTCAATGGTCTTCGAGGGCTATCTGAGGTCGTTCGACCTCAGATGACGACCGCCGACACTAGATCTAGGTTGACGTTGACCCTCGCCTAGGTTTCGTGACCCTCGTCGGTCACCGGGAGCTGCTTGAGGTCGTTCGATCTTAGACGACAGCCGTCGGTGCTATATCTAAGTTGCCAGCGTCCCTCGCCTAGGTTTCGCGATCCACATCGGGGGTCGCTCGACCCCAGGCAGCCCTATTCGATGGTCGTCGGGGGTTACCTGAGGTCGTTTAACCTCAGATGATAGCCGCCAACGTCAGATCTGGGTGGTCGACAGTAGCCTGTCGGCGAAGGGTTTAAACTTTTTTTTATTAAAAAATAAGAAAAGTCCTTTGTAAGAATGATTTTTTCAAGTACTATTTTACCAAAGTTGCTTTGCAATGAACTTTTAAGTTATAATTTAACAAACGCAATTTACATTTTAGAAAACTTAATTATCTTAAAGTTCCTTTAAGGTGTTTGCGGACGCAGCCTAAGGGTGCGAATGGTAACCATTCTGCTCTAGAAATCAAATTCTTGCCAGAAATTGATTTCTAGAGGAGAAATCTGTTTGGTAAAACATGATTAATTCTGCTTCAGAAATTGATTTCTGGAACAAAAATCTGTTTTGATTGGATGATTTTTTTTGCACCTAAAAAAATTTAAATTTTACTCAAAGTGGGTGGCCACATGTATTATAAGCCATTCTATGAAGTTTCGAAATTTTTGATTTTTTTAATTTTTTTTTGGGCACATAAAAAAATTTAAATTTCACTCAAAGTGAGTGGCCACAGGTATTCTAAGCTATTTTGTGAAGTTTTGAATTTTTTTATTTTTTATTTTTTTGGGCACCTCAAAAAATTTAAATTTTACTCAAAGTGGGTGTCTACAGATATTTTAAGCCATTTTGTGAAGTTTTGAAAATTTTTATTTTTTATTATTTTTCTTTTTTTTGGGCATCTCAAAAAATTTAAATTTCACTCAAAGTAGGTGGCCACAGGTATTTTAAGCCATTTTGTGAAGTTTTGAAAATTTTGATTTTTTTTGGGCACCTCAAAAAATTTAAATTTCACTCAAAGTGGGTGGCCACATGTGTTTTAAGCTATTTTGTGAAATTTTTGATTTTTTTGATTTTTTTTAAAAAATTCACCAAATTTCATATTTTCCCGAAATCTGACTTTTTTTTATTTTCTGGAAAATTTTTATGAATTTTTCTAGAATTTTTCAATTTTTATGCATTTTCTGAAAAAAAAAATTGTGAGAAAATAGGGAGAATGCATTCCAGAATCAAGAAGTTACAAAAAGTAGCTTCTCTTTTTTTTGCCAAAAACTCATTCCGGAATAAAAAATGTATTCTGGAATCAATAATGCATTATGAAATCAAGTATTTTTAACAAACGCATTTTTATTCCAGAATGCAAAAATCGCTCCAGAATGCATTCCGGAAATTTTTTAACAAACACCATTCTGCTTCGGAATGCATTCCGAAACAGAATTTTTATTCCGGAATGCATTCCATGCTCATCCTAAGTTAAAGGAGTTTTCTAAATGCGAGACGCCTTGGGCTCTTTTTTCCCTTGTGGGCCCTCACGATGGACCTCGGACACGTGTCTTCAATCGAGCGCCCACCTGATCGCGACCGCCGCCGATCCCCAAACCCCACCTGATTCCATCACATGCCCTGCCGTACTTCGATGCGCACGATGCAAGTGTTCGGCTGTGGGCCCGCCGATGCGCACGATGTGCAGATACCCTGCAATGACCGTTTTGCCCCGCCCGTGGAGCGATGGGAGAAATCCTCGCCCGCTGACGGGGCCCCGCGCGCACCAATGTCGTTGACCCCCCCCCCCCCCTCCCGGCCGAACCAAACCGACGTTGTTCGGCGTCAACTTTGCGGGGCCAAAAAATAAATGAAGCAAAATCGAGGGACGTATGTGCAAAGATCTTTGGAGCGATATTTTCTAAGGTCCAAATCGACAGGTACGCTTCGATGGAAAAAGAAGCAGGTGATGATCCTAACGGTGCGCGATGTCTTAACAATGTGGGCTTTCTTACACAAGCAAAAGTGCCCCCACTCGGGTCGTTGGGGTTTGTACTCCACCTTCCGAAAAAAGACATTTTATCGAGAGTTAATATTACGAAAAATTCTAAACTAGTACATATGTAATAATTTTATCTCGAATTAATTTTTTAATCATGAAAAACCTTAAACTGGTACACCTGTGACAAATTTACCCCGAACTATTTTTTTGACCACCAAAAACTCTACACTGGTACACCTATGATAAATTTATCCCGAACTAATTTTTTGATCACAAAAATCCAAAACTGGTATACCTGTGATAATTTTACCAAAAACTAATTTTTTTTACCACTAAAAACCTCAAATTGGTACATCTGTGACAATTTTACCATCCGTTAGTGTCCGTTAAATTGGATTAATATCACGAAAAACTACAAATTGATAAACTTGTGACAAACAGAGGGGTAAAACCTCAAACTGGTACATCCGTTAACTACCACGTGTCATCAAACTTAGCAATTTGACTGTAAAATTTAACGAAAATTAACGGAGGGTAAATTTGTCAGAGGTATACAAGTTTGGGGTTTTTTGTAGTCAAAAAATTAGTTTGGGGTAAAATTATCACAAGTATATCAATGTAGCGTTTTTGATGGTCAAAAAAATAGTTCGGGATAAATTTATCACAGTGTACCAGTTTGGGATTTTTTGTGGTCAAAAAAATAGTTTGGAGTAAATTTGTCACAGTTGTACAAGTTTTAGATTTTTCGTTGTATTAACCGTGTTATCAATCCAGCCGGCACGGGTTTTATTGCGAGGATCTCGCTGTCTCGACGACGTTCGTTCACGAGGGCTTCCTCTTTTTATGCCGAGCGTATCTTCTTTGTATTAAGAACGATGAACCAACAAATAAAGAAAGTCAATCATTTCCGATACGCTCGTCTTCCTCGTGCTATGCGTGGAAAATATAAGCATTCCCGTTTGGTTAACCGGTGTCTCGACGACACTCGTTGATGAGGGCTTCGCTCGTTTTATGTTGAGAATGCCGGGCCAAATAACGGAATTGTCAAATTTTTTTTTATTAAGGTAAGAGTCCTTGGTCTTTCCAATCGATGGTTGGACTTGAGATGCATCACTACATCAATCAATCCATTTATGTGAATGACTAGGCTTTTATGCAATGATCCCGTACCTTATTAGCCTGTATGCTAGCACTCTACACGACAAGGCACTCCTCTTATATATTATAACTACTATATTTTTGGCCAAACTACTACTCACGCAATTGGTTTTTCCACTCCCGTCGTGTCTCGATCGAACGCTCATCATATTAAAAAAACAAACAAAAGTTAGCAACCAATGATTTGCCCGATAATTAGTAATTTTTATAGCTATTGAAAGTAAGGGTGTGCAAAAGAATTGAGAACCGCCCGAAACCGGGCCAGTGGTTCCTAAGAAAATCAGTCCGGTTTTTGCCGATGGGTACCGGTTCCGGATGTGGAATTGCCCACTTGGACCGGACTGGTAATATAATGTAATATATTTATTTAATTTTTAATTAAAAAAAGAAAAATCCTAAATCCCTAAACGCGACTTGCTCAATACTCTCACTGTCTCGGACTCTCACAGCTCGTTGAAGCTTGAAATGATTCAACTCATTTGTTGAAGTTCGCTAGCTGCTTTTGCCCATTCATAACAGTTTAGTGCTGTATGGCTTCTTCACATGAAAAAGGAGTGGAAAGTTAGGACACTACTAAATGTAGCTATAACCTATTGAGATGTCTCTAAGTAGCTGGTGAAGGTTTCCGGTCCTTGGCTCTGGCTTGTTAGAAAGTTCCTAACTTTAAAAGCAATGTCTTAACTTGAACAGTAGGTGAAGTTGTATTTTTGTGTAATTTTTTGTTGCAAATTACTATGTTGACATGTGAAACTTGGTGGGACCGGTTCTATGGACTCACCTAGGAACCAGACCACCGGTCTGGTCCAATTCCCGAGTAGGTCCATGAAACCAACGAGCGGTTTTTAGTTTCAATTTTTCGAAATCGGTCCTTAGTGGGCGATTCCCATTTCTAGGGTAGGAACCGCCTACCTGGACCATACTCACCCCTAATCCGAGGGCATTCGTGATTAACATGTCTCGCTGTTTTTCCACAAGCAAATGCATTTTCTTACTCATTGCACGCCAAAACGCGCAATACACCATGCACGATGTTAAGAAATGATGGGTATTTACCACGAGTCCACGATATATTCATTTTTTTTTGGTTGCCAAACGAGGTAAAAAGAGATATTCACATAAATGGTCTCTGAATTATGGTCTAATGTGTAATGTGATCCTCAAATATTTAATTTGTTCAATGTAGTTCCTAGACTTTTGTACATATTCAACTTAGTCCCCGAACTACATATGAACGTTCAACGTTATTCTTAAATTAATTCGACTTCATAGTTTAGAGACTAAGTCGAATACGAGCCCAAACTCCTTGAAAGCTCAGGGACCGCATTGCACGTTGCGTTGACAAATCAAAAATTCATGAGCCATATTACACGTTAGGCCAAAGTCCAGGGTGTCGTTTTCCCGAGGTGGAGAAAGGGGCAAAAGAGAAAAAGTGAAAATGAAGAAAACCGAATTGTGGAGCCTGATGGGCGGAGGGGCCGAGCGTGGCGGAGCGGCGCGCAGTCCGCGAGTAAAAAAAGGCCCTAAAAACATCTCTCACATCTCTTCCCCCCTTCTTCCAAGCAAAACGCCGAGTCCCAACTGTCCTCAAGCTTTCCCTCTTTCTGTCAATTTGCCAACGAAACTCTCTCTCGTCCTCGTGTTTTCCCTCTCCCTCTCGTCATATATAACTATACCCCACGCACACGCGGCACTATCTCTGTCGCTCTCTCTCTCCGTGCAAGCTTCCGCCTTGCTTTGTTCCTCCCTCAGGAGCTCCGCTGCTTCCTCAAATGGCGACGATCAACCTCACCTCCAGAATGTCCCTCCTCAGCCCCGCCGCCGCCTCCCGGGCCTCCGATCGCCTCTCCTCCGGCAGGAACCTCTGCGACCTCCTCCTCCTCGAGCCGAGGGGCCGGGGCGGGAGGCGGAGCCGCCTCGCCGCCGCCGCCGCAGCCGCCGCCGCAGCCGCCGCCGCTCCCGAAAGCCGGAACCGCCGCCCCCTCGCCGTGCACAACGGGCCTCTGACCGTCGTGAGTCCATCTTACCTTCTCTGTTCCCGCGTGATCGGCGTAGCTAGGTTTGGTTTCTGCTTTGATTGGCTGGTTGTTGAGGCGCTAGCGGGGAGTGCTTGGAAGTGGAAATGGGGAGAGTGAGTCGGCGAGCGTTGTGATTTTTTTTTTCCTTTTTATTGTTTGTTGAGCGCGCGGGTCGGTTTCTCTTGCGATCGGTCGGTCGATTCGTTCCCCTGCAGGAGTGCTCTGCTTGAATAAGAGGTAAAGGTGGCGATGGCGACCTGTTGATTAAGTCTTTCGTTGAGAGGAAATGGACCGTACAACGAGTGATGGATGGGCGTTCGCTTCGCTGTTTATGACTTAAAAGAGTACGGATTCGCTCCTACGTATCTGAAATGGAGATGAGCTATCGATACGTGCTTACTCGGAGGAAATGGAGAAAATAAGCAGTGATCAGTTATGCTTTCCAATTTTTATGAACTTGGAAGCACGGGTCGCGCCTTTATGGCCCCGTGGAGTCCTCAATTATTCTGGAGTGTTGTGTTTAAGCACCGTATAATAAGTATACTGTTTTGCTGCAAGGGCTGCAAAGCTTATGAAGACATTAGAGAGCTTGAGCTTGGGCTGTTATTAAATATTTAAGTCTGTCGAGTGGAGCATTTAGAGTTGATTAAATGTTTGGAATAATGAGGGACGATAGGTGGCAAAGGATCCTTGGATTTAATGAACCTCTCTGGCATACTTTTACTCGACTTTGTTGTTGAAGAAAGAAATCCATTGCATGAATTTTGTTCCCCTTTTCCAAAATAAGGTGGAGAAGAGACGAGACAATGAGAATCGGACTTTGTAGCGCATGAAAAAGAGTGGATTTTATTAACTGAGCCAACATCGATCCCGAGTGAAAGATCTTACTCACGAATAATTAATTGCAACTGAAAGCATTAATGGACTAAACTGTCATTATCTATTCTTTTTGTTTACATGATTTAAGCCTGCTTTTTTATTAAATTCATAGACTATACTTAGCTTTCATATTTTTTTCTGTTTCTTATAAATAGATTCTTGGTTTGTTTCTCCGAAATAGGCGCATGACAAGCTTTCCTCAGGAAAAATTCTTCTGCCTCAATTAACGTTAATGATTGTATTTCATTATTCAAAGTTGATAATTCCCATTTTAATGTGTCATTTTGTGGTCCTCTGTGTCATAGTCTCCCTTCCATAAAATTTCCCTAGTAGTATGTTACGGGGCATGATGTTGTTGGAGTCTTTGTAGATTTAAAGGTTTATCAGTTGACAACTTGCTCTTTCTTCATTCCTTTAAAGTTCTCTTCATTTGCTTGGATACTTTGGAAAATGAAATCTCTTGGCTTCAAGAGCCAAAAGGGTAGCTGGTAACCTGGCAAAGTTCAAAATCATACTTTCTATTTCCTACAGGACAGAGGCACATGGAGAAGTAATTTAGGACCGATCATCTTGTGAATATTCACTTTCCTCTGGTTATTAATAAAAGGATCACTCATAAACATTTATTGCTCAAGAGATGACTGTGCAACCGACTGAGGAACTAATTTACTAAAGTTGGAATTGCTTGTGCACTTTTAGTAGCTCTTATTAGAACTTCTGAAGACACGAACTTTGTTGCTGGGTCAGAAGCTTTTTGCCTAATGAAACTTCAATGTCTAGTTTGTAGGGGACTGTAGTTTTATAGTCTTGGAAGGGAGATGCTGGATGATTGACAATATATCTGTAACTCATTGTACCTTCTTATCCTGCACTGTCCAAATGTTCATCTTCTTAAATGGCAGGTAATTTGAGTATTTTTTGTCAGGATACGTCAAACTCTCCTTTTGAGGTTCAATCTGATGAATATGAAGTAAGCAAGGCTAGAGTAAGTTTGAATGGATTGAGAAAGACAAAGATAGTCTGTACCATTGGTCCATCCACCAGCAGTCGTGAAATGATATGGAAACTTGCTGAAAGTGGAATGAATGTGGCCCGTCTTAATATGTCGCATGGTAATCATGCCTCACATCAGAAAACTATAGACCTGGTCAAAGAATACAATGCTCAATTTCAAGACAAGGTCGTCGCCATTATGTTGGACACCAAGGTATGAACATTTTCTCAAAAGTAGTTCGTTTCTTCTCCAATTAGAGACACAGTAATAGTGTGAGTTAGTACTATTACTTTTATTGCATTGAGTTTGTTCTACTGCCATTAAACTAGATTTTGATTCTCCAATTTATTGTTTTAAATTTCCCTTTCATTTACTTTGGGGTTACAATTGGCATTATATACCCATCATCTTAATGATTGCAGGGTCCTGAAGTGAGAAGTGGCGATGTGCCTCAGCCAATAATGCTTAAAGAAGGACAAGAATTTAATTTTACTATCAAACGAGGAGTCAGCACAGAGGATACTGTTAGTGTTAATTATGATGGCTTCATTAATGACGTTGAAGTAGGTGACACACTGTTGGTAGACGGTATGTATGGCATCATCTCAATTCTCTCAAGAGTGCTTTGATCAAGTTCACTTACTTTTTGATTGTAATGTTGGAATCATATGCTATAAATGTGGAAAAATTGTGATTGATGCTTCAACAGGTAGGATTTACTCAATCTTTTTATTTAGAATAGATTTTGGGTTCATGGATGGAATTTTAGTTCTGCATGATTTTACTTTTTCCGCTTTTTGGTATTGAGTTTTTTTATCCTTTTTCTGGATCTTTTTGCAAAGCAATTGGGTTTTTAGATTGGCTAGGTGATCTTATCTATCCATGTCTCTACCCTGGTTCACAGATAAAATTGTTCATCATTGTGAAAAAAAACAATATTGGTAAAGTGTTCCTTCCATAGAGCTGATTTAATGTTAGAAGATGAGAATAGTTCTACCGGATTCCTTTCAGTTACTTTCCAAGTGGACATCAAATTTCTCATTTAAATTTGCGCGGACAGCTTCTCCTGAAGAGGTTTTTATTTTGTTACTGTTGTATTCCTCCCTTCAGTACAACAAAAACAAAGAAACCTAAGGAAACGTGTGTTGGGACATCAGGATTGCAGTTTTAGATATTTCTTCTTAGTTTTGGGTCTTTTGAATCACAGAGACAGGCCTATTATAACAAGCTAATTCTGTATCACATGGACATGAGGTTAAAACAAATTCCAACCTTCGATCACGTTCTTATAAGGTACTCATCATTTGTTGTTGTCTTGCCAGGTGGAATGATGTCATTGGCTGTGAAGTCAAAGACAAGGGATTTAGTAAAATGTGTCGTAGTCGATGGTGGCGAATTAAAGTCAAGGCGTCATTTGAATGTGCGCGGCAAGAGTGCTACTCTTCCTTCAATAACAGGTCATATGTCATGATCATTTTGCTCCCTCGCTTTTGTTCATATCAGAACAGAAGAAACTAATATTGGTTGCCAATTATATATTGTGACTGAAATACTGAAAGTGGCATCTGCTTGATCTTGCAGATAAAGACTGGGAAGATATTAAGTTTGGGGTGGACAACCAAGTTGATTTTTATGCTGTCTCATTTGTTAAGGATGCTAAGGTCGTCCATGAGCTGAAAGAGTATCTCAAAAGTAATTTTTGTTATCCTTCTCTTATCAGTTGATTGTTCTACAGCTCTATTGCTCCTTACATTACCTGTCTGTTTCCCTTACATGGTTAATGGCCATTATCCTTCTGCAGGTTGCAATGCTGACATTCATGTGATTGTCAAAATCGAAAGTGCCGATTCTATCCCAAATCTCCATTCGATTATTTCCGCTTCTGATGGGGTTAGTTCTTATCTGTTGGATCTTTCTTTATGCTTTTACCATCAACGTTTATAAGATGTAAAGACTAATATTGAAGTGTTTGGTAACATTATTGATTAGACTGCAATGCTTGGCTTTAATCTTTCGAAGTTTCTCAGTGCTTGTTGCTTTTCAGGCAATGGTCGCTCGTGGAGACCTTGGAGCTGAACTTCCAATCGAAGAAGTTCCTCTATTGCAGGTAAGTTGTTTAGAAGTGTCATTGGTTGATTATGTAAATTATCGGGCAGTCTTCTGTCTCCACGTTGACAGTTTTCATAAACCTTGAAAAATCTCAGAAATCCTGATGTCAATCAAGGGATTCGGGAGAATGATAGCAATTGTTTCTATTTCACTGTATTTACTCAAATTTTGCAACTAATAAATGGGAAGGAAGTAGGTATATTTTTCATATAATTGAGTTTACCTTGTCTAGCTGTATTTTCGAAAAGTGTATTGATTTATATGTATTGTGTTAGCTTGAAAAGAAATAGTTTAAGTATATGCAGCAGGAAATCTATCTTGCTCATTAGAAGCAAATAAAAGACACACTGTTGGATGTGGGAACCTCACTTCCGTGAAATGTTTGAGAAGATACATTTGCCAATTGGTTTTCTGGTGCTTTGAGAGAAATTTGTAGATGTGACAATTCTGATACATGTCTTAGGTGAAATATTTATGAAAGGGTAGTCCTTTCCTATGGTGCTGCTACATCTGTGATCTTTCTGGTTTAACACTATTGTGACGTCTTTATTTCTTTCATATGGTCCTGTGAGTAGGTTCTGAAACAATACAACAATTATCTTTTGAACAGGAAGACATCATCAGAAAGTGTCACAGTATGCAGAAACCAGTAATTGTTGCTACAAACATGCTAGAAAGCATGATTGATCATCCTACACCAACAAGGGCAGAGGTTTCTGATATTGCAATTGCAGTACGTGAGGGTGCTGATGCAGTAATGCTTTCTGGAGAAACTGCCCATGGAAAGTAAGTTGAGGTGACCCTGTTTTGGTTTATGGAAATTTATGTTGTCTTTCCCCTTTGCTTTTACTCATGCTCAAGCCTCTCTTAACAGTCCTTTTTCTAATAGTAGTTTGATGATCTCACATTGTTAGTCCATCTCTGCAAATCATTCATCGAATGAATTCTATGATCATATTTGCACCCAATGAATAGTTTTTCCATGATTCATCTATTGCATCTAGAATACCAAAGCTGAATGCAGCAACAGATAACATTTCTTCAATTGTCTATCGAATTAGGAGATTGACTTTGTAAAATTTGAGAATTCCAGCAGACAGTTGTACAATCATATCAAGCGAAGATAGTTCCTCTTTAAATATCTTATTGTGAAATCAATCCGTTACTTTCTTGGATATATGCCCATTAGGTCTCTACTAAGAGTGATGCTACAACTGGTTTAGTGTCCTTTTGGCTTATTGTAAGGCACTTGCACATTTCCTAATGTGTATGCAACGGTGTTTTTCCAAAGGATTTAATTTATGTACCATTTCTCAATTTCTATAAATATGGTTAATTCTTCAGTGCTGATTGTTTCGAAATGATTATGCATATGAAAAGGTACCCATTGAAAGCTGTTAAGGTGATGCACACTGTAGCTTTGAGAACCGAATCAAGTCTTAAGACATCCACCGCACCTCCAGTTCAGTTTGGTGCCTTTAAGGTATTTTCTTATACGCTTGATGTTGCGGCACACGCCGATGCACTCTTACATGGCTCTGGCTTTGTTTACTATCCTTTTAAGATTCATATCCAAGCATCATGGTTAACAGATTTTTGCTTCAATTACATACAAAATAATGTTTCTGGGCATTTCACAGAGTCACATGGGCGACATGTTTGCTTTCCATGCCACTACTATGGCCAATACGCTTAATACGCCAATCATTGTATTTACAAGAACTGGATCCATGTCTATTCTTCTGAGCCACTATCAGCCTTCATCAACCATCTTTGCCTTCACAAATGAGTAAGTCTAAGCAGCATACTCTTTTGTGGCATTTCGTTTTTCCTTATCTTTGATGCGTGCTAACATTAAGAAGCTGTGATTATGCTTGAAGAAAGGTATGGATATTTTTTCAATTTTTTATGAGCCAAGTAAAGTAAGGATTTAGTGCCAAATTGCTCCATAGATCGGATTGAGAAACTGTGTTTTTTACTGAACTTTTCTGAATGTTTGTTCTTCTATGTGGTCGGGAAATAATTGAAATAGCTCTTCCATAAAAAAACAGGTTGAGATCTTGTGCTGCCTCCGTGTTTAGATTTTCTTTTGTCGGGTTGGCCCATTTAGGGTATACATTTGTCTTAAAACTTATTTTATTGCCAGTGACAAGTGAAGAATGACTGAATTTACACGAACCTTCAGCACATAAATGGTTTCCCGTCTAATTTATTGCTGTTCTGAATATTCACAGGCTTTTACAATACCTTTCATATATTAACTGAGGATGATTCAAGTTTGAAATATCTAACTCATGTCATATCTCGATGTTGGCAGAGAGAGGATCAAGCAGAGGTTAGCACTTTATCGTGGTGTCAGGCCCATATATATGCAGCTCTCTGATGATGCAGAAGAGACCTTCTCTCGAGCACTCAAGTTATTAGTGGTCAGTAAACTTTCAGCGACTTCTATTTTTCCTTTTTTTTTTCCTTTGTGTCATACTAGGGTCACCATCAAAAGAGTTTGACGCCAAGAACTATCTTCACCGATTGCAAAATGTTATTGTTTTAGAACAACGGCCTGCTGAAGGAAGGGGAACACGTTACTCTTGTTCAAAGTGGTGCACAACCAATATGGCGCCGAGAATCTACTCACCACATCCAAGTTCGTAAGGTCCAAGGATGATTTTGCGCTTTAAAGAAGCTCACATGTAGAATATTTTGATCGCTGGGTTAGTTACAGGTATATCTGCGCTGTCTTGAATTAACCACGGATGACTTGCAATAAATTTTAGCAGGAATGAACTACCAATAATTTTATGAAATTGAGAATCAGATCTCTCTGTTCCTCTTCACTAAACGAGTTTTGGAATTTTTTAGCATCACGAGTGGTAAGAAACATCTGTATACCTTGCTACCTTTATGAACAGTGATGATATTTGATTATTCATCTTGAATTTCCGAGCATTCTCTTAGAGATTCAGATGGTTCTATATTGATTACATAAGGTCAGCTTCCCCTAGTCAAGCTGATCACCTTAGTTCATAATTGACTGCTCTCGGCGCTGCCAATTCTTTTTTGCTCATTTTTACCTCATCGGCCTTGGCCAATCAACTTCAAGGATGTTGCAATTCACTTCTCAAGAGCACCAAGAGATTTCAAGAAATCGACGAATGCAAAGATGTGTGTAACCATATAAACTCAGTAAAATGGAAGATGACATAGCAAAACGGTGTTTATTTCCTCCGGGAAATTGAGTATTAATGCTATCAACTATAGACGTTTAAGGCGCTTATTGTTTTGGTTTTGGTTAATGTCTAAGGATAGGACTTGACAGTTTGAGAAGACAGGTTCGATTAGGAGTACTTGCTAAATAGTTTATCGATTGCCTGCTGGGACTTGATATTATCCTCAATGGCAGAGGCGTCGAAACACTGTTTCTGAAAGTGACGAGTTTCTGTAGATTGCTTTGACGGGGCAAAAAAAAGGCCAGGTTGCTTCGAAATGGCCATAAATGGTCAGAAACCCTCACACTTCTGTGGGACTTAACGAGAAGAAGGAAAATTAGCTGTTCCTTTTGCTTATTCTGCAGTTGGTCCCACATAATCAGTTTAGCTCCAAGCCAATCTGAAGCTTTTTAGGTTTGTCTCTTCTTTTGGTTTTGCCTATTGAGCGTCGCAACTTGCAATATTATTTTGGCATTGTCAATGAACATGGACTTAGTACTGAAATCGTACATGTAGAGGAGAGGCAAGTTTCATTCATTTGGGAGAGACCAGCTTTAATGCAATCATACATTCACAAACCAAAGATACTATGGGTCTCTCCTGGGACAGGTTCATCTTTCGCTAGCAGTACGCAGCCAACACAAGCAGGGTAGAGGCGGGGGAAGATCTGAGTGACCTTAGATAAAAGCAAACCCGCCGCTCCCGAACACACTTACAATCTTAGATAGGAACACAAATCGGTTGAGTTCAGCCATTAAAGTAATAGAAAGGGGTGTTAGTCGAGCTGGAAAAAAAAGGGCTTTCTCTTTCTCTAGCACCACCTTTTTAGGAAGCAATTCTGCCCACATGTTTGCACCTATTCACTATCTTCCCTTCTTATTTATGCAAAGTCGGGATAGTACCGGTCGTCCGGGTGCTGTGGTGCCGGGTATATTAGACTTCATAGTTGTCTTGCTCGTCGTCTTCTCCGCATTTTCCTTCCAGGTTGATGCGCTTGTACCACTTTGCACAAGCTATGTACACCATCAAATCTACTACTGTTAGGGCAGCTAGGAGGAAGTAAAATCTGTCCAGATGACCCTTGTTTAGATTCCCTGGGATCCATCCGGGCATGTGGTCCTCGGTCGAGATCTTCATGACCATACTCACAAGCAAGCTGCTAACATAGTTCCCTAGCGAGATCGATGTCATGCAAAGGGCACTCCCGAAGCTCTTCAACCCATCTGGTGCTTGTGCGTTGAAGAATTCCAGTTGGCCTACGTACATGAAAACTTCGGAAGCTCCAATCAGTGCATACTGCGGGACCTGCCATAATATGCTCAAGGTGCTCGAGCCCTCGCAACGTGTGCAGTCTTTGCGAGCATACTTCAGCCTGTAGCACTCCACGATTCCTGCAGCGACCATGGCCAGAAACCCGATAACCAGTCCGATGCCCATTCGCTGCAACTCTGTGAGCCCTCGCGAGTGTGTCTTCCTTATTCTCCCCACTAGTGGGTCAATAACCCTTCGGTAGAGGAAAATGAAAACCGCGACACTTACAATGTCAAAGCTGGACATGCTAGCCGGAGGGATTCTGAAGTGTGAAACAGTCGTTTTCATGGCTGCTCCTTGCTCCACGAACAGCGAGGCCATCTGCGTGAAGACTACGGAATAGATGATGGTGCAAAGCCAGATCGGTAGGAGTCTCAGTACGCACTTGACTTCTTCCACTTGAGTTATCGGGCAGAGGCGCCACTTGTTGTAACGACCCTGCTTCTGGTCCTCGAGATCTCTTGATGTAATATAAGCCGCTCTATCCAAAAACCTGCATCATGGAGGTTAGGATTGTTCCGCAACGCTCTTTTTCTTACAGTTAATTTGAATGGTTGGCAGCTATGAGAAGGTGCAGGAGTGCTTTGGTGTCCATTGTGCAAATTCTGTGAACTAATAGTATCAGAGATACATGGACTTACTTGAATCCATGAGTGTGGAGGATCTTTCTGCTGCTACTGTCAGAGCAGTCCATGCCATCTGCCTCATACAAGTCATCTTCGCCGGGCGTCATCTCGACCCTCCATTTCTTCGACGCAGCTACTATCACTTGGGAGAACCGGGAAATTGGGTTTCCGCTTGGCTTGAAGTGCCTATACTTTGCGGTTCCACCCAGAAATAGGACCAGCGCCGCTAAGGCAGAGCCTGCTGATACCCAAAATCCTAGAGCCCACATTCCTTCATCCTCGAAGTACCCCAAAATGGTATTGGAGAAGAGGGAGCCGAGGTTCAGTGCCAGGTAGAAGTAGCTAAAGAAGGACACCTTCGAATGTCCTTCTCTAGGATCCTCTTCGTCGAATTGGTCGGCGCCGAACGTAGCTATGTTAGGTTGATACCCTCCATTCCCTAGGGCAACAAGGTAGATGGAGAGGTAGAACAATGTGATCTCCATGCTCGAATGCGATCCACACGGTATCTGCTGATTCCCGCAACCTCTAGGTCGGATCAGAAACAGAAAGGACGACAGCGATAGTGACACCAAACCCTGCCAATGACATGTAAAAAAAGCTTAGAATCACCGGCCAAACTCGCTTTTCACAAGAACTCGGTTCCCATCCACCGACCAAGGGAAAGCTAGCTCCAACGTCGAGTTACTTACGATGACGAAGATGACTTGAAAGACAGCACAGGTTTTGTATCTTCCCCAGTAGGAGTCACTCAAGAATGCTCCAACAAGCGAGAAGATGTAGACGGTGCCAGTCCATTTGCTCACACTGTTGGCAGCATCAGCATTGCTTTGTCCCAGCACCCTTGTCAGGAATAGCACCAGATTCACTCCCACTCCAAAGAATGCTAAGGTTGCTAGTCCTTGGTTCACTGTTCGATTAAGACAATGCGTCAGCCAAAACCAGAAAACAAAAGCAAAGAGGAATTCTACTTTCCCGAAACAAATATTCACGTCTTAGGGTAATGTCCCATAGATCTTCAGATCTTCAATATAAACAGTAGCATAACATATAGTAGTAAGCAACCAACGTGCAAGAAGATGGGGGGTGAAAGAGAGTGCGATTTTTTCCGTTTCGGAACCGATTCGAATTGAATTCACGTCGAACCGGTCATGTCATCTTCTCTAAGTAACTCGTTCTTTTCACGTGCAATGTCCTTTGATTGATCAAACATCTAAAGATAGGCCATGAAACGCATTCGACATCACCACCTACCTTATTAGACACGCACATCACTTTCCAAAACATGTGCACTCACGTTATATACTTATTTAGCAAACTTGACAAGTAAATCCCAGATATGGACAGTTCTTCATCCCTCCACGTATGATGGTGAACCATGATGAAAGAAAAGGGTAAATAAATAAGATAATACCTAAGTGGTATTAATGGTAGCTCTCTTTTCTAATTTTTTTTCTAAAAACTACCATGATGATCATGAACAAAGTTAAAAAGCAAGTGCTGGCCAGTTAGGAAAAGAGGACCTTACTAAAAACAAAATTTCCGAGTTTAATAATTCTCGAAGATAATTTTGGTAGGTTGGCGCAGACAGCCCACGAGTGCAACCTTGGTTTATGCTCACCATTTTCTGTTCAATTTTCTTTGATTTGTGTCTAGCTTTTATTAGCGAAAAAATCTATTCAACTTGGGCACCCTGACTTTTTGGTGCCCATTTCTTTTGATTTACAGCTAATTCCAAATATATAAAGCAAAATCAAGTAAGATGAAAAAGGACAAATAAAAGAGAAAAAAGCAAAGAGAAGCCAGCTAGACATATTCGCGCCAAAAAGTGTTTATACTTTCTTCTCTTGTAGTCCACACATTACACAAGCATGCAATAAGTCTTTTTTTTAATTTTATTTTAGAACCCTAGGAGACAACAAAATAACCCCATTTCTTCAAGTTTGAATGAGACAAAATTGATAACCAAACGGACTGACTTTGCTAATTTAGTGTCTTGACCAACCAAGTCGGCAAAAATGTTACTAGTCGATACATACCTTTTCGAGAATTATCAAACAAATATCCGGTTATCAAAAATTTGTCTAATATCAAAAGCTAGATTGGCGCAGAATTTAAGACTAGATGCTCTTGCTAGAAAGTAGAAACAGCTACTCTTACATCAACTTCTGATGCAAAGTCAGAGAGAAAAGCTATGAATTAAACCATGCATATGGAATGCTACCCCAAATGTAGTTGTTATTTATTAGGTATAGTCTTTCTATATTGAGCCGCTTGACATTATAAACATAACTTATCAAAACTTGCTAAAGAAATGATGCGAGAAACGCATTTCAACGAGTCGATCTTCTTTAACTATGCCCATATACATCTTATTTTGACTAAGTTATGCGATCTTTCTTATTCTAGGGTGACGGTACTTTTGCACCAACATGAAATCCTGTGAAGAAACGAGAAGAAATAGTCGGATCCTAATTGACAACACCACACTCGATTCGTCTTTTTAGCTAGTTTGGCATTCTAAATTTTGGACAATCCACACGTGGCAGGAACCCAAGTCATGCAACAGTAGGAGTGCACTTATTACGTGTCCGACTCTTCCTCCTCCCCAGATGCATGATTTGCCATCTCTCCTCTGCTGTCCTTCTCAGCAAGACCTCTGAACACACCAGGACCCTCTCTTCTCTCTCTCTCTACGGTTTTTTGGGCAGGCTAAAGTCAATATATATACACATGGGACGACGGCTCGTAAAAACACCTGTGGGTCGTCTCTGTGAAAAGCCTACACGTTGCTCCAACAGATACATACGGTGACAGCCCTAGCTGTGACTGTCTAAAAAGTGATAGCTTATCTCGAGTAAGACCAAAAGCATGACGCTAGCAACATACATGACACAGCATTATTTACTACTGTGGATAACATCAACATTTGACTCGATTAGCCTCAATTAATGCAATCGGTACTCGCACGTATGTCCGTCGCAATAGTTTTGAATGAAAGACAGCCGTGATTCGAATGAAGGACGACGTTTATGAACACCCACTTAAATTTTCGTTGTTGCGAGAAAATCTAAGATGAAAGAAAGAAATCTAGGAAAACATGTTCGACATGTGTGTTTTTTCATCAACTTACGCAGAATGATGGTTCCGGCGAACCACTGTCCGCTTTTCCCTTTGATTGCTGGACGGCCATCCCAATCCACAGTCCCATCAAGGGTGTATTCCTCTTTCTCCTCCCTGTAGTTGCCCTGCAAATTTTTCACAGATTTTTCCTCAAAACGAAGATACTTTTATTGGTTGAATTCTTGCACGTACAGTAAGAACATTATCAGTAAAAAAAACAAAAAATAATGGTAAAAAAACAAAGCTCTCGTGTTAAATGGAGTGAACTTGCATGCATGACAAGAATGGGCGAAAAGATCATCAAAAGATGCAAAACTTGGATTTGGCCCAATAAAACAAAAACAAAACTTGGATTTATGGTGCTTTTCATTCCCTTTTTTTCTCTGCAATTGCTCTTTGTTGGCTACTATTGGGGAGAGAAGAAACACAAACGATATAAGCGAATGACTAACCTCCTTACACACTTCTAAGCAGGCCATTGCTGATGGAAGTGGGTCACTCGGAGAATATGAAACTTTGTGTGTGACTTTTGGAGTAGCAGTAGCAGTTTCTGATAATGTTTTTCAGAAGTGGAAGGTGGGCAACTCTTATTCAGGAGAGAGGATCACAGAACTCAAGGTTGGAAGCTCTTGAGGACGAAGAAAGAGGAGGGAACTAGGGAGGGTATAAATAGGGGCGAAGGCCAGAGTTGGACGGTGAGGATTTCATCAATAGAGGGTGGGGACACTCACGCGGCAAGATCTTCCATGACAAGATTTCACCTTTTGTTTGCACAGAGGAAGTGACGTTTCGATTAGTTGGTATCCATGTTTTCTGCAATTTTGCAATTTTTCATTCATCTTTTAAGGAGTGGTCGAGTCCTCCTCCGAATGATATCAAGAAATGAAAAGTTACTGGTGTTTCTTTATTTTGACAATGTCATGTCCACAAGCTCTCTAGAAGCAAGCGTTGCACGAGGAGCATACATTCCCTGTTTTATTCCATTCGCGTTCTCTTTTATTTTCATGTTATCTCTCGGTTTCTTAAACCGCATTCTAATTCATTCAAACGTATGGTCATTATTCACCCGTGATAGTATGGTTCTCGTCTCGCCGTTCCTTAGGAATAACACGACTCACCGTCCTTCCTTTCTTATTATCGAATAGAGTTCAGGAATCTCTTTAGAGATGGCAGCGGGAATATTACCAAAAAAGTCATAAATTAATTGTAATTATGCTAATTTAGTCATAAGCCTTTTTATTGGCCAATTGAGTTTTAAACCTTTTGCATTTGTGCAAATTCAGTCCATCCAGCCAATTTTGGCCGGCCAATGCTAACATGGATGCCAACCATTTTATGTGGCGCAGCTAACGCTAACTTGGACAATTTTTAATAATATTTTAATACTTTTTCAAATTATTTATTTATGTTTTCCTTTCTTTTTCCTTTTTTTCTTTTATTTTCTTTCTCTTTCTTTTTTTTTTCCTTGACCTAGCCGGCCAGGGGAAAAAGGAAAGAAAAAAAAAGAAAGAGAAAGAAAAGAAAAAAAGGAAAAAATAAATAAGAAATTTGAAAAAATATTACAATATTATTAAAAATTCTCTACGTCAGTGTTGGTTAGTGTTAGTTACGCCACATAGGATAGTCAGCATCCATGTCAGCGTTGGCTAGCCAATAATGGCCGGATGGACTAAATTAGCACAAATACAAAAGGTTATCGAACTTGATTGGCAAAAAACAAAAGGTTTAAGACCGACTTGATACAATTGCAATATATTTAGGACATTTTTGGTAATTTTCCCTATGGCAACTTTCGTGTAATCTAGGTACCTTCGC